CACAAAACCACTCACATTTACTCCTTTATCCAGTCAACACAGCCGCACGTAGAATGAGAGCATCGTCTGAGCTGTTTACCAGCATCAGCCAACGACAGTCCTTCAAGTAGGTAGTGTCGTGTTCACCCACCGTCTGCGGCTCCTGAAACAGACGACCAACTAGACCTGCGACCGCATTCACTTTCCGCTGCCTACCTCCGTCTCGAGCCGGCAGTTTACGCCGGTCAGCGGAGATTCCCCTCACATCGACATCTGCTCTCTCTACGCCTCTGATACTTGCACCACGCAGCTCCAGCCACATCTCCAGCCAGCACCACACCATAACAGCCCGCAGTCCCTTCTCCGGACGGCTACGATACCCTCCGGACTCGAGGCAACCAACCACACTCACAAACACCGCGGCCCCATCTACGCACTCCGACCGCCACCTAAACGTCATCCGCTAAGACATGCGCTGACCAGGTGCGGCTAGAGCTAACAACGCACCGGCTCCGTCGGCTGAACAAGCAACAAACAGCCCCCAACAACACAGCAAATGCTTACACCGCCCTCCATCCATATCTACCCACCAGCACCTCCACCCACAGCCAGCCCACTCAAGGGACGTGCAAGCAGTCATATGCTCTGCTCACTACACTCACCCCAAAACTACTCACATTTACTCCTTTATCCAGTCAACACAGCCGCACGTAGAATGAGAGCAATGTCTGACCTGTTTACCAGCATCAGCCAACGACAGTCCTTCAAGTAAGTAGTGTCGTGTTCACCCACCGTCTGCGGCTCCTGAAACAGACGACCAACTAGACCTGCGACTGCATTCACTTTCCGCTGCCTACCTCCGTCTCGCGCCGGCAGTTTACGCCGGTCAGCGGAGATTCCCCTCACATCGACATCTGCTCTCGCCACGCCTCTGATACTTGCACCACGCAGCTCCAGCCACATCTCCAGCCAGCGCCACACCGTAACAGCCCGCAGTCCCTTCTCCGGACGGCTACGGTACCCTCGGGACTCGAGGCAACCAACCACACCCACAAACACCGCGGCCCCATCTACACACTCCGACCGCCGCCTAAACGCCATCCGCTAAGACATGCGCTGACCAGGTGCGCTCTACTCCATACAGTCTACCGCCACTGCGTTCGTCCCCNCATCCGCTAAGACATGCGCTGACCAGGTGCGCTCTACTCCATACAGTCTACCGCCACTGCGTTCGTCCCCACAAGTGTACATCCTACCCAGCAACGCACCTAGGTACCTTCGCACCACCCGATCATATGGCCGCGGACCACACACCCCAATCACCTACCCGCAGCCTTCAATCGCAAATCAAAATAACCGCCGTTGCGCCTGCCCAAGCTCGCCCAACCAGCGTGCCAAGAACCGGCGAAACCTTCTTCCTCCTCAACTACACTCCAGCCAATAAATACATACGGCGGGCTTGTCTACTCGCCGCTGCCTCATCGCTGCAATCCTCTATTCAGGATTACACACCACACCGGCCCACACATGCCTCCAGCTACCACGTAAACGCGCGAACGCCCACCTACAAATACACACATTCATCGTGATATAGAAACAGCAAACTACAGTGGCACCCGAGCTAACAACGCACTGGCTCAGTCGGCTGAACGACCAGTCCCCAGCAGCATCGCCAATACATGCGCCGGCTCGCCTCGCCACTATATCAACCCTCCAGCACCTCTACCTACAGGCGGCCTAACCAAGCCCAACGCGCACAAGCATATGCTCTCTCCATTACTTTCACCCTCACATCACGCGCATCTACTCCTACGTCCAATCAACACAGCTCNAGCAACAACAGACAGCCCTTCAAACAAGTAGTGTTATATACACCCACCTCCTGCGCCTCCTGAAACAGACGCCCAGCTAGACCTGCGACCGCATCCACACTCTGCTGTCTCCACGCCCCTAATACACACATCACCTAACTCTAGCAGCATAGCCGCTCAGCACCTCACCACAGAAACCCACAACTGTTATGCATACTCTAATACTCTCTTTGCTAAGCCCAAAAAAGTACACGCACAATCACCAGGGCCCCTCGGTGCACTCCTGCCTCCCTCTACAAATGATGCGCTGTGAAATATGCCGACCAAAATACACCGTCTTGTCTACAGCCACCCTAATAGCTTCCAAACATGCACAACCCAACCAGCAAACTATCTTCCAATTTGCATACCGCCGCATCGTACGACCGTGGACGGGGCACCTCAAACACCTGCCCATGGCCGCAGGCCGCAAATCAAAGTCACCGCCATTGCGCTTACGCACGCATGCGTGTGCGCCCGAACTATCCCTGTCAAACACATCACAAACGGGCAAAATCAACACTTCTCCAACCGTTGGCCACCAAACACAAGCGACAGGCTCGCCCACAGGCCGCCGCCCAATCTCCTTCATCGGGTACTCGGGATTACACGCGACGCAGCTCCATTCGATCCTGCATCCAGCACCTCCTGCCGCCAACGCAGTCCTACAAATACAGGCATTTACCGTCATGCTATGGCAGCAAACCACAGTGAGCGATGGGATAACGACGCAAGGGCTCACGAGCCTGAACAATCCCCATATAAATACACCATCAGCTCATCGAGCAACCACCCTCCACCCATTCCTCAATGCCTCAACATACACAAGCCCCGATCCAGCCCAGAAGACACGCCTGCCTGCTCTGTCCGGTGCTGTAACACATACCCCATGCATATTCAGTCGCCACGCCGACCTGCGTCTCTACGCGCAGAACTCAATACACGGGAAAATATAGCTGATGAACAAAAACAAAAGTTTTCTCGACCACGTAATGTCGTGTCCACTCACGATCTCCGGCTTTTGGAAAAAGAACGCAATTAAACCCAAGAGCGCATCCACATTATGCTGCCCGCCTACATCTCATTGCCTGCAAACATCCATGCTCAAACTTCAGTTCTCTCGTCGAGGCATATGGTCTGCTCACGAATATGGCCCANCCTGCAAACATCCATGCTCAAACTTCAGTTCTCTCGTCGAGGCATATGGTCTGCTCACGAATATGGCCCACGCACGATGCAAATACAACGCACGCTCCAAGCAGCATCGCAGCATACCAGCCCGGGCCTACTACATCCCTTGCGATAGGCAGGCGCGGAAGGCCAACCACGCCCCCCTCACAATCACAACGGCCCTGTCCACGCACTGCCGCCTCCGTCTACACATAATACCCTACGATGTACGTCAATTAAGTGAGAACCGTCTTCTCTACAGCCACCGCGTTAGTTCCCAAACGTGCACAACCGGCCCAGCAATGCATCTACCCACCTGCACACCACCGAAATGTAGGAGATCAATCGTGTCTCCCCACACGCTCGCCCACGGCTGCCACGCGCAAATCACAGTCACCACTGGCAACCCTACGCATGCTGCGCCCAAACACGCCCAAGAAAACACGCACAACACGTGCACAAAACCCAACTCCCCTCAACCGCAGTCGAACCAACGCGCAGGACACACTCGCCTACACGTAAGCCCGCATCTTCGCCCTCGTTCGCTCAGAATTGCACATCATAGAATCGCACCTCGCGCCTCCAGTCGACACCTCCAAACGCAGACGCAAACCGGCTAACGCAGGCATCTGCCTGCTAACGCGCGCATCTGCCGGAATACCGAAAGAGCAAAACACAATTGGCGGCGAGCTAGCAACGCACGGCCTGTGTCAGCTGAACAAGCAGTCCCAAACAAGCACGACCAACACATGCACACATGCACCGCCTCCCCCTTCTGTAGTCTTCAACACCTCCACACGCAGACAGCCGGTTCAAGGACNCAAAGCATACACCACGCAAATTCACTCGCATTTGCAATCAGCACGGCGGTACGCAAATCAAGCACATCACCCCACTGACCTAGCCAGTAGCAGCCAACTACCAACTACAGTCACTCGAACAACTAGAACTAGTGCCGCGTTCACCCACAGTCTTTCGCCTCTGGAATAGGGATATAGCTGAACCACGGGCACATCCACATTTTGCTGCCTGCGTTCGCCTCAGTGTCTGGAAATACACACGGTCAGCTCTACAGTGTCTCAAATAACGGGGTGTCATATAGAATATCCCACCTCCCCAACGGAGTCAATCAACACATGACTGACTCTGTTGCTCTCATCCATCCGCAATTGCATGCCACACAGCTCTACTGGCAGCCTACAGGCAGAAGCACCAACTACAAACGCAAGACTACTAACACACGCAGCTATCGTTGCCAGGAACCAACAAGTCACACCTAACACTAAGCATCCAACGCATCTGCTTAGAGACCTGAACAGAGCCCCCAACAAATGTTAACACATGCAGCATCGCCCTTCTATCCCTCATAATCTCTACACGCAGGCAGCCGGCCCGAGAAAAAGGCGCACAAACAGGCGAACTATAAATGGCTCCTGCCCACACACAACGCAAGTCGAGCCGAGTGGTTGTTGTTGGATACTGCTCAGATGGTTGTAAAGGGGGCTTGAGCTTTGAGCCCGATCAGCACCCCTGCGCTCAAAGCTCAAACCTCCCTTACACCCATCTGAGCAACAGTCAACTACAACCATTCGGACAGTAGTGTCGTTTCCACCCACTGTCTTCCGCTTCTAAAATAGAAAACCAACTCAGTTAACGAGCACATCCACACTTTGCTGCAAGATTGAGCCGCAGTGACTGCAA